CTATTCTACCCCGCGTGCAATAAAAATCGTATAAATAATTATAGAGTTATCGTAATTATTAATTTATAAATTTTCGCGTGTATAAAAGGGATGAGCCTATGTGCAGTGTTGGTAGTACTACTAGAAACTAACTCGGTAATTATCAAATTTAATCGAAGGACTGTTTATGTTTTTGCTGCACAAGGCCAACAACCGCGAGATTAAATTTTGAAGTACATTTTAGATTAGAATTACTTTAAGTTTCTCGCTCGTTTCTGTCTTTTTAATATGTAATATTTCATATTGTTTTATCGCATTTCGCATATATCGTACGCTGTTTATATAATTAGTTAAAAGTCGTATCTGTAAGATGATTAAATGTAGTCGTACGGAGAGATTGCATTTCAACGTTTATTCCTTGAAGTACGAAAGAAGACTGAGGTGGTCACATTGTCCTTCCAAAGGTCCTTCTTGTAGGCATTATCGATCGACAAAGGTTGATTGAAAACTATTTATCTAATGCGTCTTACGTGCTATGAAACGCTTTACGAAATGAAAAATTATTTAATTAATGTCTCATCGTACTATGAATGTATATACATTGTTTAAATAATTATAAAATAACCGTATATATGACGAGTGAATGTAGCGGTATGGAAAGAATTCATTTCGACGTTTACACCTAGGAGTACGAAAGGAGACTGACGTGGTATCTCATATCGTCCTTCCAATGGTCCTTTCTTGTTGTCATTATCGATCGACGAAGGTTGACTGAAAACTATTTTATCGAACGTGTCTTACGTGCTATGAAACGCTTTACAAAATGTAATATTATTTAATTATTATCTCAATGTACTTCAAGTACATTGTATATTATTTAAATAATTATAAAATGATCGTATGTCTAAAAGGAGTGAAGGTAGCGGTAAGGAAAGATATCATTTCGACGTTTACACCTCGGAGTACGAAAGGAGACTGACGTGGTATCTCGTATCGTCCTTCCAATGGTCCTTTCTTGTTGTCATTATCGATCGACGAAGGTTGACTGAGAACTATTTTATCTAACGCGTCTTACGAGCTATGAAACGCTTTACAAAATGTAATATTATTTAATTATTATCTCAATGTACTTCAAGTACATTGTATATTGTTTAAATAATTATAAAATGATCGTATGTCTAAAAGGAGTGAATGTAGCGGTAAGGAAAGATATCATTTCGACGTTTACACCTCGGAGTACGAAAGGAGACTAACGTGGTATCTCGTATCGTCCTTCCAATGGTCCTTTCTTGTTGTCATTATCGATCGACGAAGGTTGACTGAAAACTATTTTATCTAACGCGTCTTACGAGCTATGAAACGCTTTACAAAATGTAATATTATTTAATTATTATCTCAATGTACTTCAAGTACATTGTATATTGTTTAAATAATTATAAAATGATCGTATGTCTAAAAGGAGTGAGTGTAGCGGTAAGGAAAGATATCATTTCGACGTTTACACCTCGGAGTACGAAAGGAGACTGACGTGTTATCTCGTATCGTCCTTCCAATGGTCCTTTCTTGTTGTCATTATCGATCGACGAAGGTTAACTGAAAACTATTTTATCTAACGCGTCTTACGAGCTACGCAACGCTTTACGTAAGCCTATATTGTTTATTTATTATCTCATTGTACTCCGAGTGCATTGTACATTATTTAAATAATTATAAAATGGTCATATCTATAAGACGAGTTAATGCAGCGGTACGGAAAGATTTTATTTCGTCGTTTACATCTCCAAGTACGAAAGGAGACTGACGTGGTATCTCGCATTCTTCTTCCAATGGTTCTTCTCGTTGGCATTATCGAACGACGAACGTTTAAAAGAAAACTATTCTATCTAACACGTCTCAAGTGTTATGCAACACTTTACGCAATCCAATATTGTTTAATTATTCTCTCATCTTATGCCAAGTACACTCTACGCTTATAAAATAATTATGAAATGATCGTATCTATAAGATGATTGAATGTAGCGGTATGGAAAGAATCTATTTCGATGTTTACTCCTCGAAGTACAAAAGGAGACTGACGTGGTATCTCGCATCGCCCTTCCAATGGTCCTTTCTTATTGTCATTATCGATCGACGAAGGTTGACTAAAAACTATTCTATCTAACGCGTTTTAAGTGTTATGCAACGCTTTACGTAATCAAAGCCTTGTCGAGCTCTTATCCATCGTACGAATATGTTGCTCGTACACATTGTTCACTGCAAAAACATTTTGAATATTATTCTCCGCGCGTGCTCCCGACATAATCCTCGATAAACTTCGCGCCAATATTTTTCATACGATGGTATGATAAAAATCTAATATAACCTGATATGAAGGCTGATTAATGAACGATTATTAATTAAAAATAGTCTAACGACTATTAAACAAAATCGAACGAAGTATCGCGCAAACAAAAGCAAAATATTACCACATGGCAACCACGTCTCGTCTTCGTCTTACGTTTATCCTTCTTCTTCTTTTTTCCTCTTAACTCTGAAAGCAACTTTGAAAGATTCCTTGTCATGTATTCGAAGAAGAAATGATGGTCGGGCTCTAAAAAAGATAGTATTATTTCCCTCAAAGCAAGCGTGAAGCTACTTTTTGTTTTTATTATCGGCTCCATTCTTTTCCTAATATCTCCTTTGATATTGCTTGTATAAGAATACAATGAAATGTCTAATATGTACTTCATTGCCATTACACTACGTGATTATTTCTCAACTGGAAAATTAATTAATAGATTGCTTAGGATCATTATTGTTTAAAGTTACGCGCTTGTAGATTTTTTTCATTCGGAAACATTAACAAGGCCGACAAAATATTAGAAAGAACTTACAAAATGTCTCTAAAAAAGGAACTAGAAACAGATCGTCAGGAAGAAATAAAAAAATATTCCGAAGTGGTCTCTTTAAAGCCTAAATCCCATTTTATATTTCAATATCAAAAATCTTACTTTTCAAACGTCTATTTTCAAATGAAGCTAAATCTTTTTATGTGAACGAAATAAATTCAACAAACAACATTTTATCATTGACGGTCAAAATATCTTCCAATAAACTAGCTCCAATGAGTAAGTACAATACTGACCAACCAATGTATTTCCAAGACAACGATTATTAACCAATCAACGTTCTTTCAGCCGCGCTAAAGATTAGCCAATCATGAGAATCGCACGAGAATGCATATATTTGAATTATTTTTGTGAACAGAGACCAAAAATCGAATAATTTTAAGTTTACTCATCGTTATATCAATTATCTTAGATATGCTTTTACTTAAACAATGTTTTATCAATACTTAAAATTGATTGTGTATGTATGATGCTTTTGCATCTTACATTTTTGTGTAAAATTTATTACATTGAATTATCAAATATTACTTATGTTATTGCTTATTGTTATCGAGTGTAATAATAATATGATTGGTCGTTCGCTTTGATTAAAGCGCATCCTAGTATCGTTCGTAGAAAGCTTTGTCGGTCAGTAATGTATCATGCATTTAATGTGCCTTGTGATCAAGCGCTTAGAATTTAATTTCTCAATGAATGTTTCGTTATATACTTTTTCGTACATTTGTTTTTATACGTTGGTGAATTTACTTAACTTATAAATTTACATAAACGATGAGAAAAGCATAGCTGGCGGGGAGTAGACTTTTAAGAGAATCGTGGTGGGTCGCGATTCGAGTTTACAACAACGTTTGACAGGGACGTGGAATAACGTAGATGTTATAGATAAACGTACAACTATCAAGAAAAAAACATTTAATCTAATCTATAATAGTATTTTATTTGGAGAATAAGTGTATGATCAAAGTTCTACTAACTATTATTATCGAGCAATGTGACCAGCTGATAGGTAGCGCGCGCGTACGCGCGCGCAAGCTTGCGTGAGAGAGAGAGAGAGAGAGAGAAAGAGAAAGAGAAAGAGAAAGAGAGTTGCGTGTGTGTTGTATGTCATCATTATATATTTTCATATATGTATTATACCATCATCGTGGTTTTATGCATAACCTAAGCTTACAAGGACGAGCTTGATGCAAGCAATAGCATATCAGTATTTTTGTTTCGAAATTGAAAATAAATCCGTACAAACGATGAGAGATGCGCACCAAGGGACTATTATTATTGCTAATCTGCATAGCAGGGAGCAGCATCGTTTTTATTGCTTTCAGCAATCAACGACCTTCCATACAAACTCTCGTTACAGAAACTCACAAGCAATTACGGAATTTTCAGGTATCTAAATTATTGTAAATCTTATTGTAAATCTTAAATCTACATAATATTGCGAGGAAAGAAGATTTTTATAATTACATTTTAAAATTACAGGAAAACTTAAAAGATGTTGAGGAAAAACGACTGGTGACCGATTCAAAGTATTTAGCTTTACTTGGTCTTGATGGCCAAACAAGTACGACGCCTCTAAGTCTCAAGCCTCAGAATGTGACAGTAGTAACTCTTATAAGGCCAGGAAGCGAACAACATGCCTATGGCTTTGTTAGAAATGTCAGTCACTTCTTGCCAAATAATAGTATTGTACTTTATAGCGTTGGTTTGAACGAAGAGTCTTTCCAAAGTATCAAGGCTACTTGTAACTCAACAAGGTGTAATGCGATTCACTTTGACTTGACTCCATTTCCAGCTCACGTAGAAGATGATAGATTACACGTTTACAGACCTCTAGTTATACAAGTAATTGATTACTTATACACATTATATACACACATATATGTATATTGTATATGAGGGTGCGACAATTGTGTGTGTGTGTGTGTGTGTGTGTGTGTGTAACATTATTTCTTCTTTCTCAATTATTATAAATCAATACATTTTCTCAATGATGTTTCATATTACAGACAGCTTTGAATACATTAGGTTGTATTCTATATATGGATTCAAATGTGCGGTTAAATTCATCTGACATTTCAAAATATCTCTTTCCAAAGTCAGGAGTATTAACCTGGCCTACCAGGCACGCCATTAGTTCTTTAACTCATCCAAAGATGTACGAGTATTTTCACACGTCGGCAGAGGGTTTTTTTTTCCTCCCTCTTATAAGAGCATCGCATGTCGTGATTAGAAACACGAAAGAGATTAGGGAAAAGGTAATGCTACCTTGGGTTCAATGCGCCCTAACGAGAGATTGTATTTGCCCTATAGGTTTGTAATTACAACACACATTTAATGTTGACCTTTTGTAATCAAGTATTATGCACATGATAACAATGGATGTTTTAGGTGCCCAATCTGCAGGTTGTCGATTTAATAAAAGACCACAATACCGTTATTCCGGCTGCCACGCGTATGATACATCCGCATTGAATATCGTTCTCGGATTACATTTCAATTTTGATGATACCTGTTACACACACCAGGAACGAGAAACATATTTCAATAAGATACAATCTGAAGAGATTATGGAAGAATATGCTATTATCGCAAGACAGAACAATGTCACAGAATCTAACTCTAAAAGCTTTGCATCGACCGACCGTTGATATTTTCGAGCGATCTCAGTTTATTTTAGATTAATAATTTATATTATTCGCTGATCGAGCACAATTTTATTAAAGAATATAGAAAAAAAATTAGTTATAAAACAAAGTACAGACTTTTTCATAAATTTTGTAGATGACAAGTATTATCGTATAATTGGAATGGCTTTCTTCTCTCTCTCTCTCTCTCTCTCTCTCTCTCTCTCTCTCTCTCTCTCACACGCACGCATGCACACACACACACACCTACACACTACTGCCTTTTTTGAATAGCTTTAATGGAAAAAGAAAAACGCACGCACGCAAATACACGACAACTAAAAATCATAAAGCAATTGATTACAGAGTATCAGTGTTAGCCACTATTTACATTACTGCTAATATGGAGAAAGTTGTTGAGAAAGACAAGTTGTTCGCCTTCAGTATTAATTCTCTTTACAGAATTAATGAAAACGACTGTACAGTACTTACTTAATTATTAATGTATCGGCACGCGATGATCTGTGAAGTTAATCTATAATAAATGCAAAATAGTCATGAATATCGATTAAGATCGAAAAAGTTGTTTTCTTTAACGAAGGATAAACACAATATTTATTTTTATTTCAATTTTATTTAAAACAAATAAATATAATCAATTTAAATGAAAATACGATATTTATTGTACAATTGGCTAGCGATGAAAGCAATGAAAAGTCTGTATTATTGAGACTTACTGTATATATATACACACGTGCGCGAGCGCACGGATACACACACATATACACATATATATATGTGTGTATATATATATATATATATATATATATATATATATGTATGTATAGAGAGAGAGAGAGAGATATTAGAAATTTGCTCCAAGTAATTTGTTTACCCTCTCGATTGGGTAAGAGCGATCGATCTGTCGCTTATATCACATTACCAAAATCCGATTATTGTTAAATAAACGGAGCGCATGAAACATCGATTAAAGGATGGATACGTATCTTTATGCTAGCATCTTCGAATTTCTTAAAAGCTCCGATCTCGTAGAAAATTTATCTGTCAGCGATAATTCCAAAGATGGCTGCTGATGACAATATAAACTGTTCGTTCAATCGGAAAGAAAAAAATAACTGCTCTCGGCTGTATCATGAAAATCTTGACAAAGTATACAGTAGTGAAACAACATTAAATCCTAAATATTGTAATATTTTGAATGAAGGTCATCGATCCAACAAGGATATCGTTCAACAGCCTCGCTGTCATCAAAAATTAAAAAGCTCGTCCTCCGGGCCAGAGGTTCGTTATATCAATCCGGCTATTTATGCGGAATCTCTAAACAACGAAGACGACGAGGAAGAGACGACGAATATCAGGATGCGCGTTGGTCGTACAAACAAGACCAAGATTTTGGACAATGTTGGCGCAAATAAGCGATTCATCGAGGTTAATAGCGGCGATACAGCTACAAGAACGGCCAATATGCTCTCTTGCTTGTCCTTGAAGGAAGGATTGGTCCCTTCGCCCAATGATTATGCCGATGATGAAATCGCGTCGCCGGAAACTTATCGCTGTTACTTTTCTACGTCAACGTCATCCATCGACAAATCTTCTGCCGGTCATTCCGAATCCATCTTTAACATCAAACCAATTTCTCATCGTCGAGTCGAACGACGATGCAGAATCGACGATAAAACGAGCAGTGAACGACAACGATCGCTTACGAACGTTCTCGTCACCGACGACAGACAAAAGTATCAACCAGAAGTACGGAGGTACGTTGTTACGTCGTTGAACTTGATTGATTATTTACACGTTTTTATTTTGCTTCTTTCTTTTTGGTATTTTCTTTTTTTCCGCCTCCTTTCAGGTATATCATAAACGGCCATAGGGTCGTTCATATATCAACAACATCATCGATCGACAGCTCGAAAGCTTCTCAGGTGGTCGAGGAATCCTCGCCGGTCAGAAAAAGTGCTCACGAGGAATGGTTACGCAAAAAGCGATTGTACCTTCAACGGAAAAGAGAAGAAGAGGAAATGCTGGAAACGAAGAAACGGGAGGAAGAGGAGAGATTGGCGCGCGAAAGGGAAGAAAAGGGACGGAGGGAAAGGGAGAATTTTTTCAAGTGGGCAGAAAGAAAGAAGAAAGAGGAAGAGGATAAAAAAGCGGCCCTTGAAAAGGAAATGGAAATAGAAAAACAATTGAAAGAATTTGAGGAGAAAGCGTTAGTTGCAAAAGCCTTGTACCTTCGACAATGGACTCGTAAAAAGGAAGAGGAACAGAAAGGTAATAAATGGTACACCATTTAGTATTATAAATAATCGTACCGTCGCGCTCCAATTTTACATTTTACAATGAATATTTTAATATTATTCATGTAAGAATAATAAAATCTTCGTTACGACAGCGCAACAAAGAGCGCAGCAATTGAAGGAAGTACAAGACGAGGAAGAACGGAAAAGGAGACAGGAGATAAGCTTGAAAGCATACGAGGAGTGGCGAGAGAGGTCGAAGAATCGGCCTAAACCTGCGACCCAAGGATTACTTCGTTAGTCTACATTTTTATTCCGTTTATATTTTATTACGATTAAAAATTTGTCTCATTTTATTATAGCCGATAGCCTATGCCTTGTTGTTCCTTTATATAGCCCACCAAGCGGCAATGCCGACATTTATAAATCCCACGCCATGGCAAAAGCTCATCGACGACGATACGGATGACGGCCAAGGGGACGGCGTTAAAAGGACGAAAGTAAAACGAAAAATTAAAAATAAAAAGGGAGAGCATTGACGTAATCACGTCGTAAAACCTACGATTTTGAAAGCTCATATTTCGGGGTAAATGATTTGTTAAGATTCGCTTGTCTTAAATGAGCGCGTATCGTTGCTCTTACAAGCGTTGCATCTACATACGTGCGTGGTGTCAGTCTGGATCAATGGCCATATTGGACGAAGACGAATCATGGGATTATAAAAAAAGTATTCACATGCGCGCATTCACAATTATACAATATCAACTTATTAATATTATATTTTGTATGTTACATACTTTTGACTATTTACCGATTATTTGATTTCCTCTACTCTGTCCGAGTTATTTATTGTGATTAAATTATAATAAATTGAAAATATCCGACGGAAAATATAATATATATAATCCGAGGAGATATAACATATTGTTTAGCCAAAGTAGGATAAAAGATAAAATTAAAGGAATATATTGCTATAGACTTACATGCCCATAAATACTTAAATCATTCCAATTATTCATTAATAATTGTGTTCTTAACGAAGCGATAACGACAGTATTATTGTGCGCCGTTGCATTTGGTAAATTATGCAGGTAATATATATATTCCTGATAAACATGACTAAAGAGTATCTGCGAATAAAAATACAGTGCTTATACGTTAGCATCTTTTACAATTCATAATTACTTGCCCATAGCTTCTTCCTCCTCCTGAAGTCTCTCAATATCCGATTTGTTCATAAAATAGTACGAAGGCTGTCGTGATTTCTGAAAAATATCGTTCAGCTGCATTATTTCATTATTATATAGGCAAAATGAAAAGCGATCTCTGCGAAAGCGTACCAAATCTTTGACGATTCGTTTTGCACCCGCTTTTATGAGAATGTTGCTTAATATTTCAACCGATGGTACTCCCATTGCATAGTGAAGAGCAGTTCTTTCAAGCTGAAAATGAAATAAAATAAGGAAGGAACGACGAGTTAATTTACGAACGAGATTGATCAATGACGATCGCTCGTTCTTCCGAACATGAAGATAAGGAATGAATACGTACGTTGTCGCCAATTCGCAATGTTTCCGGATACGTATTAGCTATTAATCGTACGATCTCTTCGTTTTCTCGTAATACAGCGATGTGAAGGGCACACCGACCGGTTATATTTTTTCCAACTGCTAATAACTTTCCACCGCCGTTATTTTTATTTAAAAGCTCCTTCACTTTGGCGACATCGGCGAAACGTATGGCACGGTGCGTATCCTCTCGTTGATCCTAACGCACGCATAATTGAATAAACAAATGGTATGATGGTATTAACATCTACGTGCTTGCGCGCCCATATCTGTCTATGTATTATATGCATTACTTATTAAACCGTTCAGATTATATTCAGTATATTCGTTTACCACGTAATTAGGAATAGATTGTAAAAATTGCACGGTCGCCTCGTGATCTCTCTGAATTGCGACGTCAACGATATTCATTTTATCGTCTTCCGCGTCGAGGATATGATCGTAACCTTCCAGCAAAAGTTCCACTAGCTTTTCCGTTTCACCTGCGATCAAATAATGAAAAGAATATTGGAGAGTGCTTTCGTCGTTTGTCTACGACACGAGTACGTTAAAGCATCAACGTCTAATATCTTATTTACCCCTTGCGGCCAGATATACGACCCAACGATCGATCTCTTCGACATTTTCACGGATATTAGCCTGTTCCGCAACGTCCCTAGCTGTTCGATAAACTTCGTCCCTAAAACCGACGTTGACCTGTGTCTCTTGCAAAAGATGATACAAGCCGTCTTTCGAATAAGAACGTACAGCTGCAAAGTGTATCATACTTTGCCCGTGCTCGTCCTGTGAATTAAAAGATAAATTTAAATATATACACTTTGCCATATTTTAACATACTTGATAAACTTTCTCAATACTTTTTGTTTGATTATTGAGTAACGTACTCTGTTTGGGTTGCTAAAAGTTGATTCTGGTACATCGGAATCTGGACTTTGAGGATAGCCCGCGTCCTCGTCCCCGTTTTCATTGTCAGGATTGTCGAGAGATTCATTTTCACGTTCGGGTATTATCAGTACGTTGGATTCCTATAACATTATCGTATACGTACGAATATTATAAAATGAATGGTGGTGCCACATTAATTGCATACGTGCATAAATACGAACCCGCTGATCGTCACTTTTATTATTGCTAGCAAAATTGTATAGATAAGTTGCCAAATATGTGACCGGATCGTTTGGACGTGCATTCGCCACTTCGGTTAGACCCTTGATCAATGGATCACCCAAAGCTGCCAAAATATACTCAAAATTAAAAACTTTTTTATGCGAAAATTTTCACGCGATACGACTCTTACACTTACACGATGCTAAATAACGACCTTCCTCCGTGCGAAATATAGGAATATCGAGTTGATTATCTTCTGAAAAATATATTCTCTTTTATTGCTCGATATATATATATATATATATATATATACATATAAAACAATAGGATATATATATATATATAAAAAGAGAGAGAGAGAGAGAGAGAGAGAGAGAGAGAGAGAGAAGGAGCTCTTTATATTATATTTCATATAATATAAAGAGCTTGTATGATTTAATACAAATAATATGCGAAATGAAAAGGTGCAAGGAAAATCGTGATTAAAATCGTGATTAAAATCGTGATTAAAATCGTGATTAAAATCGTCACAAATATTGATCTTTTCTTCAAACTCTTCAATCTCAATATGCAAAAGCAAGAAATTAGTGTTTCGGTGATTATATAAACGATAGGATTTGCATTTTATATTAGACGAAAGTTTATGTAAATATATTTGTAAAAATAATTGAACCACAAATCACATGTGATTCATGAAGAACGAATACACACATACATATTTACGTAAGTATTTGGAAAGATGTGCCAGCGTTGTTCTTTTTTCGCGTGAACATTGACACGTGCATAATGAAGGCAAGAGAAGCTAAGCTTCGTTCATTGAAATGTTCATTAAAATTCATTCTATTGTAATCAAAATTTCATCGAATAACATCTTTTTGAACGGCTATTTTACAATACATATAATATCACGTACGCACAGGAATAAGAAGCATACTTCTAACAATCAGTGCGATAACAATGTGTCGAGACAATATTATTAGTTTTTTTGGCTTTCAATGTTTTACTAACCTAATAAAAAATGCGACCTTCTTCTCGGCATATAATCCAAGCACGCAATGTTTCATTTTTTCTATTAAAATAATTATTCAAACTGAATATGAAATGTCCGATACACGAGAAAGAGTCAGACAACGCGTTCACACATCTTTCCAACGTAACACATTGAAGAAAAGAGTTTAAAAATGTTTTCTCTCTCTCTCTCTCTCTCTCTCTCTCTCTCTCTCTCCCTCCCTCTCTCTCTCTCTCTCTCTCTCTCTCTTTCTATGCTACAAGAAGCGATTATTAGTAATCCGGACTGTGAAAGAGGAACAAAATCGACTTATCAACGAAATAATCAACAAAGAATCTCTTAAAAATGATTCTGAAATATTATCTAATTGGAAGCATCTAGCATTAGATCGATGTCGACGATACTGTGATAAAATTGTTATCTCTCTTGCAAGGTGAAGATCCGTCGTCGATCGTGATCGAGTCGTTTCGTTGTCGATCAAGATCGAAGTCTTCTCGTGTTGGTCTTCTTCCGAAAAATACCGGCGATCATGCTGGCGATTCTGATAGAATTGTTCAACGTTAATTCTTTCTCCAATAGGAGAATATTCGAAATAGCCCTTGAAAAGTCTTGGAGGCTATGCAATTCCGAGATCGACAAGCATTGCTGATTGGCTATTTTATAAGTATCCTTGCGTGGCGTGTCGCTCACGCTTAATCCACGAACGACGCATAAATGTTTAAAATGGTCTCGTTCTTTCGACAATTCGGGAAACTTTATGATCAGTGTAAACTTTAACGTGTTGCCGATTGCATCAAGTCTTGAACTAAGGAAACCAAATTTAACGTCCTTCTTAAAATGCAATCTTTGATCCAACAGGCGCATCACTTTGGCTAATTTCACGTAGGCTCGACCGATCAGTCCTGGTCTGTTGTTCGTAGTACGAGATATCACTCTTAAATGATCTTGAACGTTCACCCAAGCTGCCAAATCGCCACTAGCAGAAATGTAAACTCCACGGCCGTAAGGCCAATGTCTGCCGTGAAGTCGTTTAGCATCGTGAATTTCAAATTCGGTTATTGGTAACAAGAGGCCGGCTGCTGCCAATTGAGCTCTCAATGGACTTGGCTGATCTAAAAGTTCGCTCAATGTCAAATAATTCCCGGTCTCGTCCTCGGTACTACCTTCCGCCATTATCATGGAAATTTCCGGGCTCATAAATTCACTCGTTAGGATCCGTTCGACGTCTTCGAGTTGATTCACGGTAAGGGTCAACGGTAGAGTATAATCCTCGAGATTTCTGCAACATTCAATGACGCCGGCCTGAACGTATTTCGCGGACGGATCAAGATCATAATTTTCCAAAGCAGACACGGCCACTTCGTCTACATAATCTCCTTTGTCATCGGGCGAATCGTTCATGTCGAAAAAATGAGCCGATGGATGATCCGGAAGATCTCCGCTAGCTGTCAGACAATGCAATTCCCTGATAATTGGATCGAAGAGCTCGGCAAAGACCACGTAGCTCTCGTAATCGGGCACAACGATGATATCGTTATCAACAGTATCGTCCATGCTTGCGACGGAATGGTTGCTTTCGCTGGTCTTGTTAGTGGCGATGGGATTGCCGTATTTCTTAAAAGCCGGCCAGATAACATCAAAAAGATTGTGGTCCATGCGTGTCACACGGTGCTTTATACGATCGAATATCGGCCGTTTAAGACAACGACCAAGCAGTGTACCAGGATTCGAGGGTGTCCTAACAGCTGAGTTTCGTCTAGCGCCAGCCAGCAAGCGGAAGCATCTCTCCAAGGTCGCCAATGTTTCTGGTTCGCTAGCGTCTCGTCGCGCCGAGTACTTGTCTCCGCCGGGCACTGTTACTCATCCATGCGAGACCGAGCGTGAGAGGACACGGTGAACGGAACAGGGGTGCCGATGTGCACCATCGATGGATGGGTGATTAAGATAGTTACCACGTATATCAATTAAAATAATGTAATGTGCTTGCGTATCTCTAGGACGTATGCGTGCGTTTTTGTTTTTTTTACAAAAAATTCAATGTGTCACTATTTACGATCGGTCAAGTATAACAGATAAAAATCATACATTATATCAATGCATTTGCGATGTCAAATTAAACTACTCATTGTATTGCACTCGATCGATTATCGACTGATAGATATATCGGTATCCATTAAGACGGGAGACAATAAATAGAGTGCGATAAATGAGACGGTGCGGAAATTTGAAATTTCTTTTATCGACAGACGTAACAGATGACGTTTTATGTACGACGCGATAAAAAATTTATTTTATTATCGGTCGTTATTTTACTCTTGAATTTATTTTCATTTATTTATTTTCATGGAAATTACTGAAAAGGAAAAGTTTATCCCGATAATATTTGAATAATATAATAAAAGAAAAATTGGAGTCAGATATGTTCGCACGTGCTTTATTATACGTTTGATATTTAAATACCTTTGTCCGTCAACATTTCTTCAGCGAGTTTTTCGCTGGCTCCGAAATCACGAAGTAGTCTTTTGTGCGATAGGTCATCCTGATTTAGTTTGTAATGATCCGCCTTATTTCCTAACTACATGGGAAATCGTTAGATAATGTAATAACAGCGAATAGATGGATAAAGCTGTCAAATGTTTACGCTATTGTATGTATGTGAAAAAAGTTTGATACTTGATAATATCTGATATTAATTTGCATTGATATTAGAAGAGAAAATATCTTAAGCTGTACACGTTGATGAAAATTAATCAATAAGATTTCAAATTCTCATTCGAGTACTCGAAATAGGGAATAAAATTACAAAAAGTTGTTTCGATATATTGCTACATGTGAACGTAAGTACAATAATTTCTATGGGACTTTTCGCGGGTCTCGAAATAACGTCACCTTTGTCGTTTGACGAAAAGTTTTTTACTCGTTTACTCACATTGTCCTTTACAAGCGGATTCGCTCCCAAATTAAGAAGAAGATTGTAATAATGTCCGTTGTCGGCGAGCGTTGTTGCATAATGCAACGGCGTTCTACCGTCGAGATCGATCGCGTGTGCCGTTTCCGGGAATCTTCCTGCCAGATACCTAACGAACGGAACATAAACGTTTAAACGTGCCTATTGGCATTAGATCGATGAAAATATATCGTAAAGGCCGCATGACGATGGTTTAAACTATCGTTAAATCGATTACTCATATGTATATCTATAGTGAAATATCATTTCGACAGAGCTTACCTGATGACAGCTGTATTCCCAAAGACCACTGCAACGTGAAGAGGCGTTGCACCGCGAGGCGACGAACCGTCCCTTGCTACGGCAAATTTGCGACGATCCAATGCGCTTTGCAAATCTCTTAGATTCCCTTCTCGCGCTGCCATATGTACGGCGTGAATTTTTCCCTTGAAATCAAACAATTATGAGAATAGCTAAGTAAATCGGGCTAAGTGTCGTTTCTTCATAGACGATAATCCTATTCGCGTATCATTATGCATATAAATACATATAAAGCAATTCAAAACAATTCTATCTTGTCGATTTATGTACCATATAAGCAGGCACATTGTCGATGAAGGCCTGAAGTTCGGGATTATTCGATTGCCGACCAACAAGTCGTCTACCTTCGCCGTTCAACACCAACGCTGCCAATTGTTCCATATTTCCGTTCTCCAATAAATTCTCCACTTCTGGATCCAAAATCATGCTACCCTCTTTCAATTCTGCTTCTGGTAACTCTTCGTGTTCGCCCACGATGACCTAATGAGAGAGGAACGATCGAGTGTCTAAGTGAAAATGTCGTCTGCATAGGCACCGTTTGCCGATCGATACGAAAGATAATAATCGTACGTGGGAATACTTTCTTTCGGATCGATCGTGCCGCGTTCAAAGCGCTTGTATGTACTTGTATATATCTATTGGTTTGGCGAAAGAAAAATATGTACATATGTATTATTTATATAATGTAAATATCCCTGATATTTATTAGCGAAGATTTAAATTTGACTAACGCTTATACCTGATCTTCTTCGTTCGTTGGATCATCGACCCCAGAGTCGCCCGTACTAGGATCACTCCTCTCCTCTTGATCGGTACCAATCGGTTCATTCGTTGTATCCTCAACCTTATCAGATTCCTCGATCTCTCGAGGTTGCTCTTGCGCGTCGTTTTCCTTCGTTTCTTCTGCCGTATCTTCTGCCATTTCCTCATCTTTCTCGTCGTCTTTCACGTCGTCTATCGTGTCGTCCCTCTCGTCGTCCCTCTCGTCGTCCTTCTCGTCGTCCTTCTCGTCGTCCTTCTCGTCGTCCTTCTCGTCGTCCTTCTCGTCGTCCTTCTCGTCGTCTTTCGCGCCAGTAATTACATCATCGTCGGACGATTTCTCTTCGTTTCCTTCGACTATTTCGGACGTAAGCTCGGACAAACCCTCATCTTTCGTAATCGAATCATCCTTCTCTTCCTCAACTATTTTCATCTAATCCACGTCGATAGTAATTAAAAGTCGATTAATCGTACATTACTGTTAGTTACTGTTTAGTTGAGAAATGATAGATTACGTACGTCCTCGGTAATAACGTTTGAGCTCCTAATTGATGGTTCGGCACTTTCAAATGCACTGTCGACCTCATTGCTACTTGGCGATTTCTTTGCTGGACGTACAAATGTTTCAGCTACCTCCAAGATTCTCCAGTCCCAATTTTTTGGATAGGACATTCCCGATACACGTGGCGCTTCCGGTATCACGACTAAATTGGATAGATCCACGTCGGACGGGCGATTTTTATAAAAAGCGGCTGCCTTTTGTTTCTGATAAGTACCATCGTTATTAAATGAGATAAAGATATGAATATGTATATGATTGAAAGACGAGATAGGAAATGAGATAGGAAAAAGAAAAAAAAAAGAAAAAAAAAAAAAGGAAAAAATAAAATTATAATATTCGTCTGATATCCTTTCTACGTTAGTATACTAACGTTATCCAATTTGCTTTCGTCGGCCCCATGCTCGGTCAATAGATTGTACATGGCACCGTCGTCCTTCAACGCAGCCGCATAATGTAACGGTGTTTTACCTTCGTTATCTTGGGCCGTTACTATCGATGGATACCTCTCAAGGATTTCACGAGCGACTTCCAGATAACCCAATCCGGCAGTCTGAATGATTATACGCAAGTTTTATAATCGTGATATAGATAGAAATTATAATAAACATTTATATTCTAACGTCAATTCTCATCGGATCCATTAAAGTACCTTGTGCAAGACGTTCAAACCGTTTGCATCCTTGCTACACAAAATAATAGGCGAGACCGGATCCTCTAATTTCTTTTTCAAACCCTCCAAATCGTTTTTCACAGTCGCTGAGTGTACATCTTTCACGGTACCCTGAAAACCAATTGCGATTTTGTTTTGTTTTGTTTCCTTTTTTTGTTTTTCTTGTTTTTCTTGAGACGGACCACAATAAATAAACGAATACTTGCCATTATAAAAGGTACTGCTTCCAAAAACTTCTTCACCCTCGGATTGTTGCTTGTCTCGCATCGTAATTTGCCACCGTGACCTTCCCAGAGAACCTGCTGCAATTTTCTAATGTCCCGATTATGAATCCATATTCTTATATTGGAAGGCTTGAAGTCAAAGGCTGCGGGCAAACATTAAGTTAAGAGATACATATTTCATTTCGGCAACGTCCAGGCATCGATAGAACTCGTCAGAGTTCTTTTTTTTATTTTTTATTTACTCATTGTCAGTCAGAGTCTTTGTCATTTTTCTTTCCTTTTTGATTGACGTTCGCGATCGATAAATTATGCGAAGCATGAATAGAGAAGATTCCTCGTATCGCGAAATTAATGTTTCTTACTTGTACGCCTCTATAAATCCAATCCTTATAAAAGCAATGCTCCAAAGTAGAACTTTTCAACAATGTTGAAAGAAAATAAAATACTTCTTAATACAATTAATCCATTAAATCTATGTGAGTGGGGGGGGGGGGGTTAGTGATCACGTATCACGCTTTACAATATTTATAAAGCATGCAATATATTATGGAGGAATATATATGGAGGCTGGTGTTTGTAAAACGACTTTAATATAAATATAGGCGAAGCCAACCGAATGAAATTACTTGGAATAAAATGTCGAGCGAGTAAGCATTGACCTTCTTTTGCACAATGGACACACGGACACATTCCGTTAAGTATTTATGAACGTCGGAACTTTTCGTGCTTCGCGGATTCGTCAATTATTTACATAACTAAACGGGGAAAATAGAAATAGGTAAAAGTGCTTAACTTCGGCTAATATTGAAAGAAAATGCCATAGAAATGATGTAAGTTTTATCACGGAGAAGGATTACTTTCACTTCATATCTCTCCAAATTCAATATTATAAGTACTTACGGCGTACTCCTTTAATATTTCTTTCTAATATTTTCTATTACGCTCGAGTAACCTACGAGAAACTCGGACTAATGTTTACATTTCCGTACGTCGATGCACGGATAGCGTGTTCGATCGCGATATAATAAATATTTCAGGAAGTAAGCAGGGCAGTGGACGATCCTCGTGATATCGTCAACGCTTTACAGGGCGTCGCGCCGCCTTTAGCAATCCGAATAAACGTATTGCAGCGAACGTAGCGTTAGTAAATAAATTAACCGTGCAAATGACTGGTATATTATAAACGCAAAGTTATCTTCGATTTGTCTTCGATGTGTTTTAGATTAATTTCAAAAATTGAATATCTTCGCGATCAATGCTTTCACTGTTCGGACTTTAAACTAACAATTTCTTTCGTTTTTAATTTCTTTCAGATTGCGTCCTTTGATACGAGGAATACAATTTATCTGCTTTATGAATTTATACTTAATCGATCTTCCGATGGTCATTAGGCGTACATAGGTCTATAGAATGTAACGTTGGGGGGATATAAGAGAAGAAATGAAAATTTTCAAGTTGCACGGTACATATATTCCGTAAGGTTAGCGTAAAGTAATTGAGTCTGACCGACAATGGAGCTATTAATTAGTACTTTTGTCAAGCAACTACGACCAATTAAATATTTATAAAGTGTCTAAAGATCCAAATGTCCGCTCACTTTCTTTCGTAGTGCTGCTTTTTCGATTAGGCATCCTCTCCGTTTCGGCTAACTCGACCTCGGAACTGTGTTCAAGATAATAAGCTGCCGGATTTCCACGCTTGTCGCAAACACTGGCGTCGCAGCCACCCTCTATCAAAATGTCCCACACCGTACTAGGATCTCTACAGGCAGCGCAATAATGTAAAGCCGTTCTACCTTCCTGAAGAAGAGAAAGAAAAAGAGTAGGAATGACATATCGACGCGACTCTATGAACTTTGAGTCCACGTAAGGGAAATAAACTATTTAATCGAGCAAATTAGAAAGTGGATATATCTATCCTACGTATGTGTTTTCTTTTTAACGATTAAACAAAGTTTAGTAACAGCTCGAATAATAAAGCAAAATTTCTCTAAAATTTCTTTAATCTCCGACTAGGTTAAAACATTAAAAACAAAAAAAAACTACTGACGCAGATGCGCGCAACTGAACACGGAATCGAATGATCCGAGGGAAAAACAGATAATTCATACTTTCCGATATTATTTCTGTCACGCGATGGAGAAAGAAGAACTACGTTGAATGTAGAGGATATATTCAATCGTTTCTCTACCGATTGATATTTCGAGTCGATGCTTTGATCGGGCTTGTGATAACAAGTTCATGGCTGTGCATACTTGCGAGTTCATTAACAGCAACTCACTTTGTCCCTTTGTTGAGTCGTGATTGGGTAATTATGTACAAGCCATGCAACTATTTCTGGTTGATCATGATAAATCGCCTTGTGAATGAGCGGTATCCCGGATGGATCCTTAGCGATGGCCAACTTTTTCTTTGGTTCTTCCGTTATAATTCTCTGAGTTTCTACCAAGGAACCTCGCGTAACCGCGTCGTGAGTTTGAGATATCTTCGTCTGCGAGATTATATCGTATTATTTTTCGATATATATATATACATATATATATATATATATATATATATATATATGTATGTATGTATGTATATACATACAAATACATGTGTACATTTATAATGTTATTGTTCATCTTACCAGGTAATTCGGGAGTCCCTTCAGGAAGACACGGGTTCTAAGATCTGGAGAATGTTCGCCCAACAAACGTGCGCCACGTCCCTCCAACACAATATTTTCAAGCTTCTCGAGCTCACCGCGTACCAACCAATTCTTCAACGTTGTCGGATTCATTTTTAATCCTGCGAACGATCATTTTCAATCAATCATTTCGAATGAGATCTACGATATCTTTAATACAATATGTCGTTATAAAGTATATAATTATTTGTACGATCATTATACGATCTAACGTATAACGTAGAAACTATAATTCTCATCTATATATCTTATTTCGGGTCACGAGATAATCAGAGCGCGAATTAAAAACGATAGGATGTTTTGTTGTTACAAGAACGTATCAAGAAGATGCGTATTTTTAAAAAATATCACGTGCTACGGAATTATATCAACTATTATCGGTATAAAATTAAACATTCGTACCTTCATAATGGAACGTCTTTAAACGTTAATAGATTTATAAAAAAAAAAAAAAAAAAAAAGTCTCATCCAAAGCATCCGATTGAAAAACGAATTAGGCAATGGAATGTCTCAAATATGGAATGGCTAAAAAGAACGAACGCGTTTCAGGGATCACGCTTGAAATGAAGACGAGTCTTAGCGTCGAGTCTATTTATTATTAACGCCACCTATAAACTCATTTACTTTGGTGCCCATTATATTAAACGCCTAATCATGAATATTTTCATTTCGTCTTATCGAGGAATCAAGGAATCGTAAAATGTTTATTTAAGAATTAACAATTAAAAAGAAATTCGGATGAGTTACGTTGAAACGATACTCATGCCCGGCAATAAAAGTGTTTCGCACAACTATTTAAAATATAAGGCGAAAAGAAAAGTCGACTATTCTCCTCTTCTTAATTGATTGTCGCACACGTGCTCCAGTTAACGAAACAACCCACTCACACACGTAGGAACGTGTAAGCAGAGGAGCGCGCGCGCGCGCGCACGCTACATCAAAGATGTAAAGCTACATCGAAGAATTAGCGACCATTTTGGTTTTCTCGCAACACGCACAACATCATTGAGTACTACATCGAAATTACTCCGTTTTACCAAACCGATTACAGAACCTACGGGTTCCCGCGTGCGACTGCCGATACCGTTGCGTACTTTTCTACCTCTCCTACTACTCCTCTCTAACCGTAGACTTGCCTTCTATTATTCACGAGGTACTATACTTACAAAACGGACCTACATGCCATGACATGTCAGGGATAGAGTAAAGAAAGACAATAAGATTCTTAAATCGATGCGGATGATCAAATGCTTCTCCATTCAAATTCATATTTCAAGCAAAATGCAATTCTTATTATCTGATTGTCAAAGAGCACTGTAACGACAGTGTGCATTTTTTCTATCTCACAATACCAATAACAATATCATAAGTAGTCAATTATTATTGTAGATAATATCGGAGAGATTTCATTCCTGTATTCTCTTAACGACGAGCCTCATTCGTACATTCGAATAAGTCATAAGTTAAGGATGTAAAATCATGCGCAAGAGAAATGACCATTGATCAATAAGTCAAAAGATATCGTATCGTATCGTATCGTATAGGGGAATCCTTGAGTTAACCCGATCGATTCTCCCTCTTTCTTTTTTTTTTTCCCCCACTTGCTTCCGTATGTTATTATACTTGGATATTTTAGCAAACTTCAATAAAAATAAATGTATGCTTAAGCGAGATGGCAGTCGTCACTTGTGGACTTTGCGTCTTTGTATACGCATTTATTTATAAATCCATCTTCTTGCATAACTTGCATAACGAAAAGAATACGTAAACGCTTCAAATTCTCCTATAAATACTCGTTCAATGACGATAAAAATAACTGAACGATTGGCAAAATAAAGAAAACGCGTAAAGTAGTACGACTGGATTAAGTAAACGATCCAGAAAAATGCCGATATCGCTAACGGACAACTATAGTTTGCAGAAAATTTATGAAAACTTTGCAAATTTTCATTACGAAACGATCGCGACAACATTTAGCAATGAATCGTTATCGTGAAAAGTAGTCTCATACTTTATTTACTTCGAGCATGTATCGGCGATTTAATAAGCAGTTCGAAATGTTTCAAGTCTTGTCGATCCTCTCGACATTTCTTATCCTTATGATCGGTGGTAATTGTTTAAATCTTTAAATAATATCTTTGTCAGATTATTGTTACCCTTTAAACGCGCGTGTTTCTCTCAGGCTCACCGTCGGACGCTGATCTAAACGGGACCGATTTTAAATGCACTGGACGTTCATATCACAATGTCACTTTAACCGCATATTATCCAGACTATACGAGTGACGATGAAATCGATTATTTGGACATCAGAGGAAAGAAACTGAAAACTCTACAGGTTCGTAAACATTTACGATTAGGCTCTTACGATAAAGGCTCTTGAAAATATAAATTAATCTGATATTATCGGACAGTTATCACTGGACAACTAAAATTAATTCATTCTAGGATTACATAGATGGACGTGAGACTTACGTTAGCGCCAGCATGGACTTGATAGGTACGGGTCTCAAGTATGGCTCTAATCTGTGCATACCCGAATTGAACGAGCACTTTGGAAGGCGCATTCCTTTGCAGGTGTGATTCAATCGTAACAATTGAAACGAATTCTCGACAATGATCTTTTTTTCCAATCAATCGATCCTAATGTTTCCATATTTCAGGCACGTGACTATGATAGCAACATTAAAGAAAGAAAATTCACGAGAGTGGACATTTGCGTCAGGACTGATGTCGACAGTTATGATAAGGCTGTGAATCGTCTTGTCACACTATATGTATGATCGTTTCGATCAAGGAAAAAATTAAATTAATGGTTACTATATGCTTATCCTTTCAAATCTTTCATATTATGCATAAGCTATATCTAAAAAATATTGCATTTTTTAACATGATATTTTGTTCAAAATAATAAAGCTTGTATTTAAAAAGTATGTATTTTTATCATTATATAATGATCGTATAAATATATCATATTAAAGTTTAACTTACCAAAATGTCGATCCTTTACTTCGTCATTAAGAAATTCATATGACGAAGTCAATGACTTTCGCAATTACTCTCGAAACATTCTAATTCGTCTTGAAAGATCATTCCAACTTTTAAGAACATTTCATATTGTTAATTAGTCAATTAATAAACCAATGTGTTATTTGAAAAACTGAAGAAATTTTTCGTTAATCGACAAGACATACGTTCGTACTATTCCCGCGCAAGAAATAAAAAAACCGTTTTCCTCGAAGGTGCTGCCACACCGAGTGTGACGTAGCGAGCCATTTCCAGTGAGCTGATTGGTCCTGACGTACGTTGAAGACTTACTTCCGATTGGTAAATAACAAATTACATACTGACATGCCAATGAGGAACTTTTAGCTCGTTTCTCTAATTAAAAACGTATTAATAAACAATTATACATAATTATGTACGTATAAACAATTATATATGATTATATGTAAAAGTAATATTTACGTCTTCAATATTATTTCAATGTAGTGCAACGGATACATTGACAATCAATCATTTTAAAAATATTATTTTCGAAAGATTCTTGAGCTTATAAGGGCGCCAACTCTGAAATATTTAAAATGAAATATTTTAATATCATGTTCGTAAATATTTCTTTAAGTTCGTAAAAAAGGAAAAGAAAAAATTAAATTGAATAGAACTATTAAGTAGTCTAATGTTTTTTCAAGCCCACGAATATATATATATATATATATATATATCGCATATATACGTATTTCTTTGTCATCTGTAATTAGTAACAAATTCTTTTAATTTATCGCAAGTTGGTAATTGTTGTACCACGTGTACAGAGGAGTTTCTTTTTCTTTTCTTTTTTTTTATTAATAAGAAAGTGGGCGAGAGAGAAAGAGAAAGAGAGAGAGAGAGAGAGAGAGAGAGCAAGAGAGGGAGGGGATGGGATGAGTGAACGTGTCGCGACATTTGATCGTAATGATCATAATATGGCGTAAAGTGTATTTCATAATTAAACTGTCATGTGTACGTGTATATTAGAAAGTATAAGCAAAGCGATATTGAAAATTTGAGATTATTACAATAAAGAAAATCTCATAGTAGGAAAACGTAAAAAATTTGAGGATGCGATGCCCGCACGTAGACGATACGTTGGTTATGAGTCAGAAAATGATTTTGTGATTACAAACTCAAACAGTGAACGGCGAAATATTGACACGAAACAACAATATTACGATGAAACTGGTAATGTCGGTGGTTTAGAGGAAAAACATTTTAAGCACCGTGATATTCCACCATCACCACCAATAACTATGACGGCACGCGATAGAACTAATGAATTTATTAATGCTATAAGAACAATGCAGGATAAAACAGTCGTTAGAACGACTAATCAGCAAAATCCAAGAAGGGCTAGACAAATGCAAAGTTATTCCAATTTTATGATGGTCGCTAAGAGTATCGGAAAGAACATTGCGAACACTTATACCAAATTGGAGAAACTTGCTCTATGTAAGAAAGCATCGAGAGTTTACATATTCTAAGAGTATTACTTTAATATTATTATGTTTACTTATTTTGATATGTTTTACACTTTGACATATGGTTTTTTTCAATAGTAAGAATTGCTTAAGAATAATTAAGATATATAATAAGTAAGAATTATTAAGATATTGTTATAGACTAATATATGTTTATTTATGTCGACTTCTTAAGACAATGAAATATTCTTAGTACCAAAAAGAGTTTTCATTGTAAAAGTAATTTTGTCTATATGATATATATATATATATATACACATACATACATACATACATACATACATACATACATACATACATACATACATACTACATACATATGTATACGTGTGTATAATATATACATATAAGTTTCTAAAAAATGTTTAACAGAGCAACTGTTATGTCTGTTCCCTTTTTAGTGGCCAAAAAGAAATCTATATTCAACGACAGACAAATGGAAATCGAAGAATTAACAAACATTATAAAGACGGATTTAAAAAGTTTGAATCATCAAATAGGCAAGTTACAAGATATAGGAAAAATTCAACGAGAAAGTTTCTCCTCTTCTCAAGGGAATCATATTGCTTCTCATTCGTCATCTATAGTGATGGCCTTACAATCAAAACTTGCAAATATGTCCAATCATTTCAAAAGTGTTCTGGAAGTTCGTTCTGAGGTATTATTTATGCAACTTAACACAAAAATATATTATTTACATTATAATGTGTTTAAAATAAATACTCTTTTATACATTAAACTATATATAGAATATGAGAGAAGAACAAACAAGAAGACAACAATTTTCACAAGGATCTGTATCCACCATGTTACCTCCCAGCGTAGTTTCCGGGAGACAAGGTTCCTTGTTACTTCAAGAACAAGAATCTAATTCTTCGGTTGCAATAGACCTTGAACCAGCAATGAGTCAATTGTCAATGCAACAAGTTTTACAAGACGATACGGTAACTTATTTCTTTGGGGGAAAAAGCTAAATCGCAACGATTAAAGATCATTTTCTTTTTCAGGATGCATATGTGCAATCACGTGCAGAGACCATGCAGAATATAGAATCGACAATAGTCGAACTTGGTGGTATTTTCCAGCAACTGGCTCATATGGTTAAAGAACAGGAGGAAATGGTAGAAAGGTAAGAAAATTATATTTTTAAATCGTCCTTTTAGAGATTTATTGCTATGGGATTACATATATGATAATTAATTCGCGTTAATTATATTACAGAATAGATAGCAATATAGAAGAGACTGAATTAAATGTGGAAGCTGCGCATGTTGAAATATTAAGATATTTCCAATCAGTGACAAATAATAGATGGTTGATGATTAAGATATTTGCTGTCCTCATATTTTTCTTTATCTTTTTTGTAGTATTTTTGGCATAAGATTATTTCGAATTTAAGTATACCTGTTTACATTTATGTTATGTTACCGTTCATCATTATTTTACTATCCATATTCAGTACTTGTGATATATAAAGTAAATATAATTTCAAGAAAAATTTAATTTTTACGGGACACGTATCACGTAAAACTGTAGGAACACTCAACTGCATTCCTTAATACTTCCACTAAATTATTAATTATTATTGCTGTATAAAGGAGGATTTCTGACATTGGAAAATAAATAAATAATTTTTAAAGCTTACGTAAAACGTAAAAAAGAAAATAAATATAGGGAAATAAAGGAAGAAAAAACGCAAAAGAAAGAAACAATTTCACGTGGAAAACAATGTTCATATTTGTAAATTAAAATAATTATATATATATATATATATATACACATATACTTATCTTTCGTTGTTTGCTTATGCTTATATATATATATATATATATATATATATATATATATAAAAGAAAAAAAAAAAAGAAAAGAGAATACTATTTTAGAATTTTATGCAACATATGCAATGCTTATGTGACGAATAGAAGCTTAATTATTTTGTATATATAATACAACAATGTACTAGAGAAAAATAATGTATGATGTTAATTGATGATAAATTATGATAAATGTTTTAAAATAAATTGCAATTTATTTTTAATTT